ATGTATGGGGCAAGGGCAGGGGCAGGGGCAGGGGCAGGGGCAGGGGCAGGGGCAGGGGCATGCACAACTCAAGGGAGCAGACTGCACCTGGTGGCATAGTGGATTACATGCCGAGCTGCTTCCACCGGCCGCTCCCTTTCTGCTCCCTGAAAGACGCAGCGCCTCCTAAACCCACTGGGGTGGTTCTTCGCATGCCACAGGCCAGCTCCGAGTCAGAATGGCTTCGATAGCAGTGAGGGTCTTGTTTCGTTTGTTGGATTTGTTTTGGTTTTGAGCCCCACGCTTTCATTATGGATCGGACTGTTTTGATTCAGAAGGTTCCTCTGGCTGATTGTTTGAAGTAGATCACCAGGCTTTTCTTCCTAGTCAGTCTTCATTTGGAAGCTCCGCTGCAACCTGTTCACCACGCTAACCACACACAGCCTCCACGGGTCAATGGGGAGGGGCCGTGCATGAGGTGCATTGGCCAGGAATCGAACCTTGGCCTTAAGAAACGAAGGCCAATAAGAATGGCTCTACCTGAAAACAACAACAAAGAATCCTAGGGCACAGGGGTGTCAGGTTATGTGTCTTTGCTATATTGGGCACCAGGTTCCAGAGTCCAAATCCCAGGCCTTTCAGCAACCGAGGACACGGTCTACGAGGACCAGCATGTTAAGACGCCGAAGTCTGAGACCAGCAGCTGTGTCCTTTCATTGCCTTTGCTCTGACTGCTCCCAAGTGCCGATCCCGGGACACAAGGGGCCTGCACGGTACAATGTTTAGAGATTAAGGCCAATGCACAAAAATAGCTCTAATGCATACACACACACTAATATACACACACAAGTAATCTCCTGATGCAGCGCTAACACTTCCACCTTCAGGAACATTTCAGTGAATGAATGGGCAGTGCAGTATTAGAAGTCCACTCTGGTTAAGATGCTAGGGGAGGGGGGATGGCAGGATTTAACTAGAGAGAGCTATGAGGTGTGCCAGTCCGACACCTGTGTGTGAATGCCCCTGTGTGGGTTGGCAATCAGCTCAGCTGGAGATCTTCACGTAGCCCATGGTTTTTATTAACTTGAATTTGAACTGTACTGGTGGCGCAGTGGTTACATATTGGGCTGCTAACTACAAGGTCAGTAGTTCTAAACTACCAATCATTCCGAGGGAGAAAGATGGGGCTTTCTACTCCCATAAAGAGTTGTTTTTGGGTGCCGTCAAGTCAGTTCCAACGCACAGCGATCCTGTGAACCATATGATGAAACACTGCCCAATCCTGTGCCATCCTCACATCCTGAGCCCCTGGTTGTAGCCACTGTGCCAATCCATCTCCTTGAGGGCCTTCCTCTTTCTCACTGCCCCTCCATTTACCAAGCATGGTGCCCTTAAAGACCTTTAAGATATACAGTCTTGGGAGCTCATGGGGCAGTTCCATACCCTGTCCTGTGAGGTCACTATGAGTCAGCACTGACTCCATGACAGTGCGTTTTTGAGACTTGGGTTGTACTGTGGAAGAGAGGACACTGAGAATCAGACATCCCCTGGAAGCCCAATGGCCTGCTGGTCATGCCTATTCAGCAGCACTCCCCAGAGTGAACAGCCACGCAATGACCACCCTACACACCCGCACGCCTGCCTCCAGGGTCAATAACATCCCGAATTCCAGAGGCGGCAAAACCCTACTCCAATGTTAACATCTGGGCTTTTCCATCTAAATGTCTTTCCTTAGTTTATTTTTCAAGTATGACAGACAGACTGGATTCCATGGAGACTGGAAATTCCTGGGCAAAGCTGAAGTCTCGCTCCTCCCAAGCCGAGGGAGCTTGAAGAGCGTGCAAAGGGCCCGGGTCCCATCTCTCTTCCTCCAGGCCCTTCTCTGAGTTTGCCTTCAGGCAGCTGGACCAGGGGCTCCACACCAGGAGGAAGAAAACACACCCACAAGCTAGAAGACAACCTCTCTCTCCCCGCCCCCACGCTCACACAACCAACCAGAAACAACAGGGAAGGCTCACCAGTGAGGGTGTTCACACACACAGAAGACAAGGGCACTCGACCATGTTTGCCTGTGTGAAAGCAGTCCTTCATTAGAGTTCATCAAGAACTCCCCTCCCCAAACTCGGGGAACTCAGCCACCCACCAGCTCCATTTTGGAACCCATGCTCCACTTGGGCTGTGACACGGAGGGAAAGCTCCACCCTGGGCGTCTATACTCGCAAATACAGGGTAAAGCAGTCATAACATACCACAGGTCGATCAGTGCTCCAATCACTTGAAGCGCTGAGAAACTAAAGTGCACCGGTTTAAAACCTGTTTATTCAAAATGACTTCAACCCCACGGTGAAATGGTCGAGGAGCCCTGCTGGCCAGTTATAAGTGGGTCTGCTAAGCACAGGGTCAGCAATGTGAAACCACTCGTACTCCCTGGGAGGAGGGTGTCTCCTCCCGTCAAGAAGTCCTGGTGGCATAATGGTTATAAATTGTGCCTCTAACCCCAAGGTTAGCAGTTCACAACCACCAGCTGCTCCTAGGGAGAAAGATGGGGCTTTCTACTCCCTTAAAGAGTCAGAGTCTCAGGAAACCCATAGAAGCAGTTCTACGCTGTCCCCTAGGGTCACTAATAGTCCAAATCGACTCAATGGCCATGAGTTTGCGTTTGGGATGTAGTAGTTCACAGTTCACTTGCTAACCAAAGGGCTGGTGGCTCCAAACCCCTCTCCCCACCCCACCCCCCAGAGCTCCTTGGTTGAAAGGCTTGGAAATCTGCTCCTATAGAGATGTCCACCTGGAAAGCCCGATGAGACAAATCTACTCTTTCACACGGGGTGGCAATGAGTAGGCTTAGACTCACCGGTACCCCGAACAACAACGAACTATGTTTTGAAGCAGATCTTCAAGCCGGTTTACTTATTATTTTTTAAAATTACTTATTTAAAATTTATTTTTAAAAATTATTTGAAATTAGTATTTTAAATAATAATAAATAGTCTTATTATTGTTTATTTGTTTATGATTTCCTGTGAATTGGCAGTTGGAGAAGTCTTTTATTTGCTCTCTTATTGTGAGTGTTTTGATATGTGCATTGTGTGTTCGGCATCGGGCAACCTACAAGGTCAGTAGTTCAAGCCCCGCAGTGCTCCGAGGGAAGCAGTCTGTTCCTGCAAAGATGTACCGCCTCCGAGCCATTCAAGAGCAGTTCTACTCAGTCCTACAGGTTTATGTGTCAGAATCCACTTGATGGCAGTAAGTTTGGAGTGGCATTCTGGGCCAAAAGTTGGACTGCCAGGGGCTCCCAAGACCCCCGCTAATAGCTTTCCCTTTCTCCCAGAGCAGGCGCAAGGGCTGGCTGCTTGGAGCCATGGGTGGCCATTTGGTATATTTCAGCTCTCCTGACCTAGCATCACCATTCGACTGGAGAAGAAAGAGGCCCCTGGAATAAAAATGTAAGACTTCTTACTCTCATCTAAACTCCTATCCGCCTGCTTGTACTACAGTCAGTTCTCAGGGAGGTGTTAATGCGAGCAACATCTATACAATTAATCAAAAAAACTATCTACAAAACATTCAACTAGTCTTGGAATACTTGTATATTATCTTTTTTGTGTGTGTTGGGGAAGGGGAGGGTATTGTTTGAGTTTAGTAGGGTTCCCGCACCCCCAGACTAACATTTAGTCTTTAATAAAAAGTTTGTTATAGCCAGGAACCATGCAAAGTGGGGGATAGGATAGAAAAAAAGAGCACACAGACTAGTGGGGTAAAAGATAGGCACAGATAATTAAGCAGAACTCACCCTGATGAGAGCTCAATGCTGTGTGAGCTCAGAGGCCACAGTTTTCCGTAGTGTCTCTGCTAGAAAGCTGAAGAAACCCCCCTATACTCAGATGGCACCCATCTATCAGAAACAATAGCATCTGGAGTATTAGAGGCTTGTATTAACCCAAGCAGCCATCTAAGTGAGGAGTCAGCTAAGTACACACACAAAAAGCACATCAGGCTGTGTGATCCAAGGATTGGAAACAATAAAATCCACGACCAGAGGAGGAAACAATGTCAGAGTTTAAATTCTGAACACACAGTTTTGCATAAGGCTATTGATGACAGTGAACACCTAAAAGCCATTCGAAGGGTCCCCACATGGATTAAGCCTTCAGTGAATCTCCTCTCATTATAGACCATGACTATATAATAGTCCTGCTAACACAGTGTCCATTTGTAGGGTGGATTAATGCAGATGTAGTTAGGTAAAAATGTGACACTTTGTCATTTGACCTCCCCTTTGACCAAGTTTATATTTGTCCTAGTTTTCAATATTCTCTGCTTTCTTTTTGATTGAGGTTTTTCTCAGTTTTAATTTTGCCATTATTGTTGGGTTGTGTGTTTCTGTGTGGTTGGTGGAGGTAGTTTGGTTTTATGTTTTTCTGTATATGAAATGCAGAATAGGCAACTCTAGAGAATGTAACTGGATTCATAGTTTTCCTAGGGGCGTGTTAGGGGAGGGTGGGGGGAATTGGGGAGCTAACAACTGTGCGTAGAAGAAAATGTCCAAAAATTGATTGAGGTGGTGATTGCATGCCTCTTTCATCTTTGTAATATGACTGAACCACTGACTTGTAGGATATGCAAATTACATGTCAATAAAACAGTTAAAAGAAAAAGAAAACCCACTATGCTCACAAATAGCCTCTCACAAATATCACATGCAGATAATCTGTTGAATAAAGGGTCAAACTTGGGCTGGGTCTTAAGAGAGAGAAAGAATTCCTCAGGGATCAACCCCAATTGGGAGAGGCCATGAGAAGAGCCCCCGGCCCAGGGGGTGAGATGGCCAGGGGCAAGTTAGCTGGAGAGCCAGCTTCACAGATAACACACAGTGGGCCAGGGAACCACTTCACACTTTTCTTAGAGGAGAAGTTGTCCTAAATGACAGGATGTTTTACAGGAAGGAGAACTTAGTGGGTAGCAGAGACCACAGTTCTCTGCCATCCACCTGGGCATGAGCCTGTCCAGGGTTTTCTTACCTGGAAAGGAGGTGCTTCCTACTGGATGCCAAAACCAGAGGCCAGCTGGGGACTCAGCAGTCGGCTTCCCGGTTAACCTGAGGAACAACAGAAGAGACATTTTTGCTCTCGTAAGTAACCGAGCCTTTTAGTCCCAGTGGAGGCTGGCAGACGCAGGTTGGCCACCTTAGTCCCAGAGCAGATGATACGGGCAGTATTACTTGACCCAGGCTTTGGGCCAAACAGGTCTGAGTGAGAGTTCGGGTTTTATAACTCAAGTGTAACTACCTCACAGACTGATTACTAAGAGTGTTGTCAATCATGTGTCTTTGACCATTAACCTAAATGTAGGTGGTCCTAACCCACCCAGTGTCATCACAGAAAAAAGGCCTGGGAATTCGCTTCGATAAAGACTAAACCCAAGAAAACTCTGCAACAGTTCCACTCTGTAACATGGGTTGCCATGAAATGGAATCAACTCCGCTGCAGTGGGTTTGGGCAAGTATCAGGAAAGGACGTGCAGCTGGTGAGTCCCTCGCCCTCAGGGAGCATCCAGTCCACAAAGACAGGGAAAAGTCCAGCAGACAATAAGCATGATGGTGGCAAATGAATAAGGGCCGAAGTGAATGTGATACAAGAGCAGATTCTGATTCTAGATGGGTCAAAGGAAGGACCCCGGAGCGCATGATGGCTGAGCTGAGGTCTGGCAGGCAGGTGTTGGCCAGACTATGATAGCAAGCAAAGGAGTGTGCCAGGGAGAGGCGAGCACCATGCGATGCCCTGGGACAAGGAAGAACAAAGTGAGTTCACAAGTGCCAAGGGATTGGTTACCACTGGTGACCACTGGAGCCTGTCAGAAGACTATCGAGAGACTGGCAAGAGACATGACAGTCACAGGCCTTGCAGCTCTTTATAGAGTTTGGACTGTATCCTAGGCCAATGGCAAAGCCAATAAGGGTCTTACATAAGAGTGACATGACAGAGATATGTGCGCACACTACTTGAATACGAGAACAATGCGTTCTCATGGCCCTACCCAATACTTGCCTTCACTAAGCGATCACTGAAGATATGGGTGCTTTAGCCAAGTGCGGTGAAGAAATCAGCTGGTGCCCGTTCTATCAGAAAGAATAGTGTCTGAACCTATCCCAATGATCTGCGTACAACCACCCCCACCCTCACCTCCACCCCTACCCCCAGGGGGACGAACAACAAAAATGTGGGTGAAGGGAGACAGTGGACGGTATAAAATATGAAAATAATAATAATTTATCATTTATGAAGGGGTCACCAGGGTGAGAGGATGGGGGGGTGGGGAGGGGAGGAACTGATACCAAGAAAATGTTTTGGAAATGTCGATGGCAACATATGTACAAATGGGGTTGATACAATTGATGTATGAATTGTTATAAGAGCTGTAAGAGTCCCCCAATAAAATGATTTTTTTAATTAAAAAAAATAATGTCTGAGGTCTTTAAGGCTGCCTTAACACAAGCAGACATCTAAATGAGGGGAGGTGCCAGCTAAGCCCACACAAAAGAACTACCCTTTCCTGTGTGGTCCTAGGGTTGGAAATACTAATATCCAAGACCAGAGGAGGTACAGCAGTAGAGCTTAAACTCAGAGCAGCCAGTTTGCCAAAGGCTGTGGATGACAGTGAAACCTCAAGTCCATTTGCAGGGTCGTCACATGGATGAAGACTTCGCTACCATTGACCAGCACGAGTTGGAAAGTGGATTAATGTAGATGCAGTTAAGTTAAAATTGAACACCTTATCATTTGTTCCCCTTTTGGACTCACTTTAAACTTGTTCTTTTTTATTATTTTCCACTTGCTTTTCGATTGAAGGCTTTCTCTGTTTCGCTTTGTTATTATTGTTGGGATGGGGGGTTTACTGTTGGTGGTGGCGGTGGTTTTTAAATTTTCCTGTATAGGAAATTCAGGATAGTACGTCTATAGACATAGTAACTGGATTAATAGTTTCTTCGGGTTATGGCAGGGAAGATTGGCAGGGGCAGGGGGCGGGGCAGGGATTGGGGAGCTAAATGATTGTGGGATGATTGCACAACTGTTTAAACCATTGAGTTGTAGGATATGTGAATTAAATGTCAATAAAAGTGAAATTAAATAAATAAAGT